AGCGAAATAGCGAAATAGTTGGCTACATTTTTTAAGCAGTAGCTGTAGTCAGTAGCGAACTACCTTTGTTCAAAAGTAGCAGTAGTTGTAGCTGACTATATATTTTTGAAGTAGCTGTAGTTATAGCGAACTACAAAAATTTTGTAGTCAACCCACCCTTGCTCATAGTTGCATTTTTCACAGCTGTTTCTGGTCAGGTTTGACATTTATATAAAATCCTATCCAACACGCACTCAAAACTAACGAATATATACTTTTCCACTTGGCAGTGACTATATTTCAATTAGTTCATTTTTGAAAGTGTGTTCAGTGTTTTATCGGTAAAATAATGCTAAAATGAAAAGATTTTAAATGGTGCGGCAAAGAGGAAATCAAATAATGTCTGAAGTTCAGTAAGTTTTGATTGCTGTATAAATATGGCGTCAATTTTAATTAATTAAAGCATCAATGATAATTCGGCCATTTCCCAAAGTCCTGGGTCTAGTCGCGCGAATCCTGTTGGAGGGACAAGAAATATGGCAGCACACATTTAAATTAAAAGTTTAATGTAAAAAGGAGATATCTCATTTTTGGTCGTCTAAAAAGTTGATATTTGATAGCAGAGACTTCTACTCTTTCACATATATATTTGACGCCTGTCACCATATATTTTGTCCCTGCAAACGATCCCAGAATGTACTGTGATCTCTTTTTGGAAAAGGCTAATTGTATTTAAATTGACAATATTTAACTATCATGTCGTGTTTCTCAACCGCCAGATATATACATTTAAAAAGTTGCTAACTGTGTAAACTGCAAAATAAAGCTACTGACAAAGTAATTTTGAGAGGAACGCCAAAAAGATTTTTGAACACTTTTCGTCCCAAATACCAGACATCGAAAAAATTGCCTCTTGTGAAGATTGGTGGATATTACTGGATATTGAATGAAAGACATTTTAATTTCGAATTTATCGTATTAAAAGTACGCGTTATTGAATATCAATGAACTCTATAAAAGCTGGAACGATAAATCTGGCTATGTTTAGAAGCCTATTCAAAGATGGCGGAAATTTAAGACCGTCTTGTAGGTATGCCCCAGGCCCCTATGCAGAAATTAACTGAATTTAGTACGAAAAATCGGCATCATTTCATGTAGAAATTTCATACTGATAAAAAGCAAAGTTATTTGACGAGTAAAAATCAGAAAATCCAGAAAAAGCCCCGCTGAGAAACATCAGCAAACTAGCTCTTGTTTTTCTGCATTATGTACGAGGGATTTGACTGTTGAACACACAATAATATGGACTGCAGTGCCATCAATCTTACTTTCCTTTTAGTTTTTAGCTTTTAAGTAGGGTATTTACCACTAGAAATAAATTTATGTGCAAAAAATTGGCCTATTCAAACACTAGTGTCCAGTCCTACAAGTTTAGCGCTGACTTCCCACAACTTCTTAGCAGCTTGGTCGTCCTGTGCCGTCTCTGCTGGCGTGCGCTCTTTGCAGTCGGCAAAATACAACCCCGTGACCCCCTCTAATTCTTCGGAAACTGCCAAATGAATGCTCGTCTGCGCTCCTTGCTCTGACGTTTTGAGAAACCACGAAGCAACGACGTTATTTCCTTGCATTACCATTGGAAGGTGACGGCTTAATTCTGACGCTACAACGCCAGGATGAAGAGAATTTGCTGTGACACCGCTGCCCTCCAATCGTCTTGCCAGCTCTCTTGCGAATAATATATTCGCCAATTTACTTTGCCCATAAGCGTCAAATTTTTCGTAGGCAATTTCACCATTCATATTTTTAAAATTAAATGCAGTTTTAGTGAACATCCAATGCCCCATTGACGACACGACGACAATTCGCGACGAAGCGGACCTTTTTAACAAGTCAAGCAGCAGATTTGTCAACAAGAAATGCCCTAAATGATTCACAGCCATATGCATTTCAAAACCGTCTTCTGTTCTAGTTAATGTCGAAAGGCACATTACCCCGGCATTGTTGATCAAGGCATCGAGTCGAAGTTCATTGCTGTTTACATCTTCGGAAAATTCTCGAACAGACTTCAAGGATGCGAGGTCTAAATGTTTCGCCACGACATTTTCATTGCCAGATTTCTGAACGATCTCTTGCAAAGCGGTCTCGGCCTTCTGTAGATTACGACAAGCCATGATAACCCTCGCGCCTCTCTTGGCTAAATTCAACGCGGTTTCCTTACCAATGCCCGTATTAGAACCAGTTATGATGACAGTCTTGCCGTCAAGTCTCGCTTGGCTTGTGCACACACCGCCCGCAATATAAGGTCCAAGAATATAGGCATGAAACACAGCATAACATGCAACGAATATCCCTAGTTTTACTACGAAATGCATTGCTCTCTGCGCTAAAATCTACGTATAAAGTTCGTCGAACTTTGCTCTCGAGAGATTTATTGCGTGGGTACCTCATTATGTACTCAGATTCACACTGAAGTGGCAGGTACTTGTATTGTCATACAGTATACAGCTATTTAAATTAAGGTTGTAACTAGAAGTTACTATGGCAAGGTAAAGTGCTGCCTAAGACAGGATACCGCTGAGTTGCTTTTGTTTACAAGAATCAACCAGTGAAATGTATATACATGGAAAGCTGATAAATTACGCAATCAAAAGATGTAGGCAAATAGCTAGTTTTTATTGGCTGGTCAACACATTTACCACATATCCCCGAAACACGCTATACATCCAGCGTAAAAACATTGCATATAACGACAACTTTATAATGTATTTATAAAAAATACGCGAACTATAATGGTTTCAAACTTTCAAAATTTATGGGTATCGAAAGTTATAAAAATTTAGCTGTAAATTTAGGTGCATTTGGCCACGTTTTTACTCTTAACTGTATATCAGTGCTAGTAATAATTAAACAATATAGTGCGTAAATCAACGAGTTTCATACTTTTAGACGCACTTGCACCTCTCGCTAAATTTGTGCAGGCCTTTACTATCAGAGAATAGGCCTCTACTTTAATAAAATCCCAGCGACCAAGCGCTGAATAAATCAACGAAGCGACTTGTTTTATTGCAGATTTTGAGGTAAAAATATGTCGATTAATTCGCGAAAACGGATATGTTACTTTGTTAAGAAATTCATACGTCGTAAAACTGAACATCCTATACATCGGTCGCTAAAATCGTTATTTAGTCGACTATATATATGTTTCGGCAAAGGAAACTGGCGCGAGTTTCATAAATGTCAAGAATAGTGTGTTGCCTCTTTGCCGCTTGGCAGCAACAAGGCCGCATTTATACTGTACGGATATAGCTTGCACAGGGTCGAGCAGGGAGACAAAAACCATACAAATTACGTAATTTATAGTACGGTGGCACAAGAACCTCTACCTGCTCCATTTACTGTTCGGTGTACTCCTAATGGATGGAATAGAAGACAGTCACATGACTGTTATGAACTGTTCTGACTACCCCGATTTTCGAGTACACACGCAAAAGTGTCACATCTTGTAACAAGTTTGTGAACAAGTCGTCAACAAGTTGTCTTCGCACTGCTTGTCACAAGTTGTCAACAAGTTTGGAACAAGCTGTCAACAATTTGTAACAACCTTGTTGATATTATCAGACTTGTTGCAAGGTTGTTCCAACAAGTCCGATACAGTCATGATATGGCAGTATTTTTACAACCTTGTGTCATCAACCTTGTAACATTCTTGTTTATCATGACTGTATCAGACTTGTTAGCACAACCTTGTAACAAATCTGATAATGCCATCAAGCCCGTTAAAATTTGTTAACAGCTTGTTGCAAACTTGTTGCAACAACTGGGAACAAGCAGTGCGAACACAACTTGTCGACAGCTTGTGAACAGATTTGTAACAACTTGTTTGCAGACCTGTAACAACTTGTGCGTTTTTACGTGTGTAGGGGCAGCCAGAACAGAACACGTGACACTGCCCTTTTTCACGTGATTGGAAATGGAGGCGACAGATTTTGTGTATCCAATGCACACTGCATAGAGTGTTATTACGGTTGCCATTGAGTCATTTTAAAAAGAGCAAAACAATAGACACTCCGAAAATAGTTAACATCTTAATCAACGTTTCGACTAGGTTTTGAAGGATTAACCGCTATATATCAACATACACTTATTATACATGCTATTTGAACGCCAGGGCCGGACAAAATCAACGAGTAAAAACGTTACAAAAGCATACTTAGATATACAAATAACAGCAAATCATTATACGATTTATTATGCGAATAACTAACACTTCCACAACTTCACGCGAATGGCGTTGCTTTTCTCCGTTCTGCTTTGCAATAATTCGTTTTTGACTTCTTCAGCCTTTTTAACTCACGGATGTTGCGAAGCAACATCTGTGAATCTTTGTGGTTACTTGATTGTGAGGTGTATGGAACAGATAAACAATGGGAAATGACCAGCCTGCTTTGCGCGCACTGTTTGCCTGCAAATGGGGCCTTTCAAAACCGGAAATCGGGCTGGAGCACGCGTTCGTTTTTTGATTTGGCAAAAGAAGCAGGACAAATGGCAAAATTCGCACGGTGCTCGTTTGCAAAAACAACTGCAAACTGCTCTAATTCTTTCTGTTGCTTTCATTTGATCTCATCCGTGAGTAGGCCTCAACGGCCTTAGATCACCTTTTAGAATTTGCATCGATTTCCCTCAACCTCGTTCCCAGACTTTTACCCCCTGATAAGAGGAGCTGGTTACGTGATCACTAGAATCTAGTAGATCTTTAATTGATGACAGTGGCGTAGCCAGCCAGACAATTTAGCCCGCCGAGGAGTATGCAAATTCAAAATTATTATCATTATTCATCTCTTTGGAAATTGATTCTTTTCACAGTCAATGAACACGAAAACATTTGTATAGCGGGACTAAATCGTCGGGCTGGCTAACCGGCTACTGATTGATGATGATGATGTTGATAAATATTTTATATTTATACGTTAATATATGACTTGCATTTTGTTTTGCAAGTTTGATTTGATTTTAAAGGAATCCGAGGTAGTTAATTAGAAATCTGCTGCATTTTAACACGTCACGTGACAAGCTCCTCAATCTCGTTCCCCGAGCCTGCGATCCTTGGAAAGGAACGCGAGGCCCTGGGATAATCCGTTGCCGGAAGCCAGGAATCCTTGCTAAGAAAATGCTAAGATTGAACTGTGCATTCCATATCAACGGCCAATCAGATTCCTCCCTGAAACGGATTATCCCAGAGCCTCACGTTCCTTCCCGAGGATCGCAGGCTCGGGGAACGAGATTGCAAGCTCCTATACCAGGTCTTCCCTCCACAAGAGATAAGAGCCTGGGCACGAGGTTTAAGTTCCATTTGTTGAATAGCAACGAATAGCAATATCTCCGCTTTCACGGTATAGGACTTGCAATGACCTCCTGGCGATGTTAGAACGTCTTGCCTTTTACCTCTTAGGGCCTGTTCATATGAGCCCGGTTAACCGATCGAGCTGGCCCGCTTTGCCAAGCTGGCCCGCTTTACTTTCACATGAGGCGGGCTAGCCCGGCAATCATATCTATTCATAGTAACGATTTCCCGCAATATTTTAGCGGGAAAATAAAATTCGTGTTTATTTGGCAAAATTTTATTTTTGTCGACGGCAACAGCTTCAGGAGGTTTAATTTCAATAAATTCCTATAGTTTTGGACATTTTAGACTGTTTATCAGTGGAATAAAGCACGCAAATTTCCAGCTCGGCTTGCCGGGCTAGCCCGGTTGTGCATTCATATGAGCCCGGCAAGCCGGGATCTCGCCTCGCTCAAGCGAGATCCCGGCAAACCGGGCTGGCCCGCTTCTCATATGAACCCAATCCTAAATTAATATACAAACAATATGTGAGGCGGGATCTCGGCACTTGAAAAGCAGCCCGGCAGAGCAGGGCTCATATGAACAGCCCCTAAGGTCCCAAGTTCGATTCTCAGTGAGAAACTTTCTCAATGTGACTCACACCCAGCCTTCATGTGAAAAGAGTAAATGTCAACGCTCTGCCAGAAGTCGTGGGTTAGGTTAGGTTACTCCGTTTCCTCTCACAAGGAAAGTTGACAGAGTGGGTTAATAAACATATAGGTCAGGCCGTCAAGGGGCAAATCATTGATGACATATGGAATAATAGCGGTTGCTTAAAACACCATTTGTAAGCTCACAGTCTACCTCAGTCTGTGCTTCACGTCTGTCCGATTCTATCTATCTATTCATAATGTAACCAGTCACTGGAAAGCCCGGATAGGGAGTGTGCTGTACAATATCTGCATCTGTATCTGTATGTTCACAATCACATAGTCATCAGAGTTTCAAAGTTATTAACCAGACCTTTAAGATCTTCAGAATTGACGCCCAGTTCAGACTTCCATTGGTTTTGCTGAGATAGACAGAAAATCATGTTTAGAGACTAAACTTTCGTTTATACGATCCCATGCAGCTTTCTCTATCGTTTTAATCATCCAATAAAATTTTAGATCAATCAGAGCGCTCCCGGTATAGATCGATTTGTTATACGATCACTGCCAGGGGCGGATCCAGACCGATGCCAACGATTCGAATGCATCGGTCAAAATTGAGAAATCATGTTGCTTGAAATAATATATAGACATATTATGCTGTCGTCAATATTTGGTCAAGCACTCAGTAATAGAATATCTTTGAATCTCTCCAGCTATCAAACCGCAAATATTTGCTTAAACTTGCATGACTCCATGTCAGGAATATAATATTTAGGATGAAATCCAATTTCAATAGTCTCAATAACAGTCGAAATTGTAAAAATAAATCAATATTCACTGCTTTCTTTGTCGTTTTAATCATTCAAAAAAATGTTAGATCAATCAGACCGCTCTCGACTGCAGGTATACTGATCGTTTTGTGTCAGTGGTATATCAAACTATGACTATGAAATAGTCTACGAGTTGAAACAAAAAAGTCTGCAAATTTTAGATTTTTGAATGATAACTGTGACACTACTTGACACAGTAAGAAGTATGGACAAGTTCAAAGTTTTCCTCTTTAATAAATAATTATACTATCATATTAATTTTTAGGGCGAACGTTAATCATGCCGTTAAAGTTAAATTATAGGCCATGCAAGGTTTTCCAGGTTGGCTGTTATGTGCGGTTATACCCTCGTAAAATAACGTTTTAATTCATTTATTTGACAGCCAGTGAGATTATGCATTCGTCATATGAAATGCTAGTTTCTCGCAGGTTTTACTATCCATAGGTTCCATCATCTTCTATTATCCGCCATTTTGGGTGGCGAAAATTTTTTATTCACCCAAGTATATACTATATATATACACAGATGTGCATCATTATAACTCTTCAAAATGCTCAAGCAAAAGGTAACAACCGCAGTTGGTGTCACCATAGATATCTTATATACACTACATAGTGCATCTAATTATTCTGCAATTCAAAAATTGAAGCCGTTATTGCAGACTCAGCATATTCCCATGAAATGAGAAGACTCGTATGTTTTCTATTTCTTAAACAGGGAACTTAAACATTAAGTCGGTTAAACCATTTCCAGATACATTTTCAAACTATTCAAATGATGAAAGTTATTATTGTTTTTTAAGTGTTTATTAGCGAGTGGGAAACTCCAACATGGCCGCCATCTATTCAAATGGGGGTAACCGCTGGAATATTCTTGGCTTCAATTTTACTAAAACAGATGCGCTATCTAGTGTATATATAAGATATCTATGGGTGCCACAGACTTTCTTTGACTTCATGTTTGCTTTAATTAACCATTGACTATTGTGATCAGGGCCCGGGTCTTTTGCAAGAGGCCAATATAGTCTACAGTTGATGACAATCATTCAGTCCAACTCAGCAGCTGCTTAATTGACCACTTGCGTAATAGACTAACTTCTGATCCAGACAAAAATTTCATCACAGCTTGAAAGAGCATCACAAAATAAGTAATATTCCAAAGTTTCGTTGCGAAATGTTGTAAAATGCGGATAATATAGCCTTGCGAAATTCAGTTGCAATTTTCAGTCATTTTAGATTACAAACGGGAAATCTTATTGACAGCCCCAAATGACTGAAAATTGCAAATTTCGAAATGCTATATTATCCGCATTTTACATGCAACATTTCGCAACGAAACTTTGGAATATTACTAATTTGTGATGCTCTTTCAAGCTGTGATGAAATTTTTGTCTAGACTTGTTTAGATCAAAATTTAGTCTATCACTAAATTTGGTTAAAAATACACACAATGAAATCGCGAACAGTGAGGAAGTTTTGCATTTACTGATATGTTGTTTGTTTGAGAAAATTGCTCAATTACAAGCTGAAGGGGAAATTCTATACAATTCTATCTGCCCACTCGCTGACTTTCATCGGCCAAAGCACGTCATGATATGCGTCATATCGACGCACAAGTTGTAACAAACCTGCAGCAGACTTGTAGCAAATGCCAAATGCTGTTCCAACAACTTGTCAACAGGATGTGTTCGCACTCTGCTTGTTCCCAGCTTGTTGACAAGTTGCTATAAGGTTGTTGAGCTCAACAGACTTGTTACATGTCGTTCCAACAACTTGTTACGTTATCGGCCTGCAATTCAACAATCTGTCAACAAGTTTGTCATTTGTGAGCGACAACTGGGTAGCAACTTGAACAACATTGTCACATGTTGTTGTATGACAAGCTTGCTACAAGTGCGAAAAATGCAACTACAGGTCCCTGGCGGGAATCGAACCTACGTCCCTGCGATTCCGGTGCAGCGCTCTAACCAACTGAGCTACAGAGGCCAGTGGTCGAGCTCTAACCACAAGTTCATGTATATGTATATACTAAGGTCACGCCAATCTTCTGTGTATGGGCAAATATCAATATTACCCGCGACGAATGGCTCGAAACGACGAAATTCTCCTTATATTTTTCAGGTAGTACATTGCATCCCTAGCAACAAAAACTTGTTAACTCATTCGTTAACAGAGACACAATACGCATTGTTTTGCCTAAAACTGTCGCATGCAACCTGCTTACAACTTGAGTTGTACAGTCAGGGACGCCGGAACGATGTGAAGGCAAGGGGGGCAGATTTTCGTGAAAGGGCACTTTTGAATTGATATATACTAAGAGATTTTTGCAAGGGTAATACAGGATGTGCACAGGCTAAACTTCGCCTAATCATGTTTTCTATTTATTAGATGATTGGGGTGCGAAGGGGTTCTCCGCCAGGCGATTGTGCTATTCTTGAAGCTCGATGACTGCATTTCTTGCGTTTTCTGAAGCAAATTCGTAAAAGAATCGCACTAACATTTCTGAGAATTCGCTATTTCGCCAAGACAATCCTTTAAATTGAAAGGGCATCTTTGCCCCCCTTGCCCCTCCTGGTAAAGGGCAACGGGGGCGGCTGCCCCTCCTGCTCCCCAGTTCCGGCGTCCCTGGTTGTACTGTAGTGTAAATCGATCAACATACAGCTCGCTTACATTGTCCGTGTAGTATTAGGTCGTCACTTTAGATGACTAGCGCATATATAGGCAATATTATCCGGTATATATTCGGTCATTCTTCGCAATGATACATAATTCCATTAAATTTTACCACGCATCGACACTGCACGTTATATAAGCAATAAGGGAATCTGCCTAATTTTTTATCACAGCTCACTTTCGCTTTATCATCGCTCGCAAATTCGAGTTATTACTGCACACAAAAACTTGGTCTGTTTAATTTGCAGAAAGTTGTTTTCGACATGAAAAATTAAATCACAAACAAAGACGTAGACAGCCAAGTTAAACGGTGCAATTTAGGATTCCTATGCTCTTAGAACATTCTAGTCTATACTGAAGGTCAAATTAAAATGCCTCAGTTGGCTAATGACTAAAACAAAACCAATTAAGTTCATTTGCCAGAACATATCTTATCTACAATATCTTTGAATAACGACTTCCCGGTTCGTTGTATACATCTATCTAACATAGTGAGGCACCAAGTTATGGTATTTAATCCCAGTGACCTGTACTTGTTCTGTTTAAAATCTATCAGGAATGTTTTTAGAAGAGCAAATTAAAATCCAGACGCTTGGAAATATGCAACTACACTGTGAATCCTACTCTGTACAGTACTATAAATATGTTTCGTGACTTATGGCTTCAGTTATTGCGCGGTAAAAATTGGTTAAAAACACACTCATTAAAATCGTGAACAATGAGGAAGTTATGCATTTGATTGGGTTGTTTGTTTCAGTTGCGAAAATAGCTCACTTGAAGCTGAAGTGAATGAGAGATTCTATCGCGAGGAGAGCATGTCATGAGACATGTCGTTCTGTCGACATGAGAAATGTCATGCACGGACATTTTTAGAAGAGAAGACACGAGATCAAACGAGAAGAGCGGCGTTTGAATTACTATCGCGCCAGAGTCGCATCAGTGCGACAAGACCTATCCGGCTCCAAAACAAGTTTCTTGTTTACATGGCACGTAAAAACTCATTAGTTGTTAACTTGTTACAGGTCTGCAAACAAGTTGTTACAAATCTGTTCACAGCCATCGACAAGTTGTGCTCGTACTGCTTGTTCCTAGTTGTTTTAAAAAGTTTGGAACAAGCTACTAATTATAACAACTTGTAAAAAAAGACTATCAGACTTATTACAAGGTTGTTCTAGCTAACAAGTCTGATACAGTCTGATTTTAAGTCTGATACAGTCATGATCGATATAACAAGAATATCACAAGGTTGACGACGCAAGGTTGTATAACAATATTGTTATATCATCACTGCATGTATCGGACTTGTTGGAACAACCTTGCAACGAGTCTGATAATATCAACAAGGTCTGTGGCCATATAAG